CCGCCCCGGCCAGCGTGCCCCTGCCCTGCCGCTGCCGTGTTCTCCGAGGAAGGGCAGCTACAGCATGCCGTGCCCCAGGCCGGCTTGCAAATGTCATGCAGCTGTCAAGGTACAAAAAGCCCAGGAGCAGATCTTTTCATTTCATTTTTAATGAGTTGCATCAGTGCTATTTAAGCAGAGTCGTAGCAGCGCCCTGTGAACATCTGCCAGGGCAGATGCAGTGCCATCAGGGCGCTCAGACAAATACGAAAGCGATGAGCAGTACATGAGGCAGAGTCTCCCCGCTGGAGGGGTTCAGGGGAAAGCCTCTGGCGCGCGATACATTTCACAGGCAGGATGAGAGCCGCGTTTGCCCCTCGCCCGTCCTGCGCATGGACAAGGGAACGAACCCACCTCTTTCTGCCTGTTAACAGGTACTCTCAGAGCTGACCCATTGGTGGTGCAGGACCAACCTCGCTAGAGGCAAGGGAGGACACGTTTGCACAATGAGGGGATGGAGCAATGCTGAATTTCTGGACCTTTTAGGCTTCTCAGACTTTAAATGCAAAGGGCTAGGTTTGGAGTTTGGTGAGAAGGTTTGCTGGCTTGGCAGGAACACATGTCTACATCCCTGCACCAGAAAACATGTTCAAACATCCCAGTGGCGATTCCTAGACTGCAGGACAGACCCCGCTATGTCCAACCATTGCAGCTGGGGAGGCAGTGCCTGTGATGTAGCTCAGCCGCTGCGTATACCTAACAGGCCTAGAAACATCAGAACAAAAATAGGAAACAGACCTGTGGGTGCACAATAAAAGGTCTTCCCCCAGGACTAATACTTGTACATCACATCTCATACCCTTTTGTGTCCACACACTTGAGGATTCACAGCAACAGCAAAACTTCACATCTGCACTTCAGGATTTCTTTTCTTCACCCATTAGCTTTGAATCAATCAGTTACTCTGCAAAAGTCAGTCAGAGTGAGACAAAAAAGGAGGAATAACAATAGAGAGATCAACTACAAGGAGTAACGGTCAGGTCTGGCAAACTACCATTAGCAGAGGGGTTATGACTCTACGTAAAGAAGTCCTAGTGGATGCTAAGGAAAGCAACAGAGTTTGCAGCCGGTGTGGTGCTGTCGGAGTTACATCTCAGGAGGACAGTTAAGTTGATCCGTGGGCATCATTTTCTCGGTATCAATCTTGTAGGACTGGAGAAGGCTCTTCAGGTTGTCCACGGTTTCCGGGTGCATCTCAGGAGCTCTTGACATAATCCAGGCATAGTTGACGTGGAAGAGCCAGATAATGTTAGTGCAGGAGTAAACCAGCGAGTAGTTTTCGTAGTCAGTGGAGATCACCCAGTAAGGGGCATAAGGTGTGACTAGGAGAAAGAAGGGCATCGTTAAACGCTATGGGTGACCAGCTCTGGACCGCTCCACAGCAGGCTGCTGGAGCCACGTCTGCTGGGGGCTGTGCCCTGTCCTGCTGCTGCTGGGCCACACCATCGTGGCCGGGGCAGGCAGCTGTAATTTAGGAAAACACATCAAGACTCCTTGTTCTGACCGGGGGACTCGAGAAAGCCACAAAGCCCTGACTGTGTCACACTGTGACCTGAACAGCTAGCCCAGCCCTCCGAAAACCAATCCTGCTCGCAGGCGTGTGAGGGGGCACTTGCTGGCATGGGTGAGCCCTAGGCCTGGGACGGCAGCCGTGAGCGGAGGAGCACGAAGCACGACCTCCCTCCTGGCGCGTGTTGCCCTGGGGCAGGGCTCTGCACGCCCGGCCCCACGGAGACGCATGGAGCCGGGGCAGCAGAACGCAGCATCGCTCGACCAGTCCCACCGGTACCAGCCACCTGGGCAAATCCCCTTCCCAATCAGGCTGCAATGTCTAACGTGTCTGCTCCCATGAGTGTCAGCTACTCCAGCTTCAAACCATCAGGCAGAAAGCATAAATTGGTCCAGCAGGTTGCAGTAAACGCCCTGGGGTTAGTTTCTGCTCCATTTGGAAATGCCAGGCCTGGCTCTCCAGGGCTCATGTCCCGGGAGGACGCTGGCCCTGCACGCGCTGCGGGTGAAATGGCTGCAGGGTGGGGGGCTTCAGCGGCACATACCAGGCTCTGCCTGTGCTTATGGACAGTAGCTGTCTGTGCATGTCCCCTGCTTCATCTGCTCCTCCAAATAACTCCTCTCTGTTAGTGCCCCAAACAGCCAAGGAAAAGGTGCGAGAAAGTAAGAAATAAAGGGTGCCAAGGAGAGGCTAATTTTCACTTTCCAAAGCATTCCCGCGGACAGAGGAAGGTGCTGGGTAACATGGATAAAATGTGCTGTACCTCAGCAGGCTCCTGTGGTATGTTACATTAACAAGAGAAGAAAAAGCAAACAAAAACACGTTATTCAAGCTTAATGGAAGCAGCTTGTAAGCAGAGGCAGTGTGTGCTGTGCTGGGGTTCAGAGAAACAAGCTTATTCCTGGCTCTGGCAGTGGCTGCTGGGCTGCCTCCCCCCACCTCCAACCCTCTGTTTCTCCATCTGTAACATGACACGTAGCGATGATAACACTGCTCATCTTCCTCACTTGGGGATCAGCTGATGAAAAGTGCTCTACCACTGCTAGAGCTATTGATGTATATTATGTCCAAACATCATCAAACCTCTGCCTGCTGGTCACAACGTTGGTCCTAACCCTTTGCCTAGGCCGTGGTCCCCATCGTGCTACGGCGAAGTCCCTGGGGCAGGTTCACCTCTTGCTCTGCAAGTTTGACACTTTCGATAACATTACAGCTACTTGCTTTATGCCCCTGCACCCAGCCTGCCCTCCGCGTGAGCCGGGCTCGCGGCGCTGCCCGAGCCAACGGCCCATGCCAGGAGCCGGCGCAGGCTGCGAGCAGCTTCAGGCAACACACTTACACCAGTTAAAGCTGATGCCCAACTTGGCTGGCTCCTTTACATCCATATGCATGACTTCTCCTTCGATTTCTTTAACTTTGCCGTTAGACCTAAGGAGAGCATGACAAGGTGAGAAATAAAATTAGGTGAGTTTGAAATCATGTTTAACTTTTTATTTCCAGGAAATTATCCGTCTTGATGCATTCATCTATCAAGGGGTGGCTGAAACAAGTCCAAGCTAACCACAGCTTCCCCAGAAGAACAGGTCAGCCTTTGGAGACTGTGTTTCAGTGGCTGGCAGGACACACCAGGTCCTGTGACATGCTCAGTGGGGTAGCGGGGACACGGGAAGGACATTGCGGGTTAATCTACCCCAGACCTCCAAGGTGCCTCTCTCCAGGGCTTTACAGCGTGGCACATTTCCAAGGCAACCCTAATAAAAATGCCTGACAGCACACATTCAGACCATTAAGGGCAGGTTAATGAATCAAAGATCCCCAGAGCCACTTGAGAGAGGAAGCAGCAGAACCGACGTGTGGCTGATGTGAGCCCTCATTTAATGCTCCTGCTGCCCAAACGCACTTTGATTCCCCGGGGACAATGACACAGCAGAAGAGATGGTGAACTTGGGCAGGGACAGCATTCCTGGGATAGTCTGCAGTGTCCGGTACAGCCAGACACGTGACTGCCTGCAAACATCGTTGATAACTGGAGGGAGTCCTGGAAGGAGGCCGGGTGCCACTTCGGGCCCAGCTCCCCTCCCACTCTCTCGCACAGATGGGCTGAACTGGCCTGGCTCAGCCCTGCAACAAGCATCTTTTCCTAATCACCTCTTTTTCTTGAAATCAGAATCCTGACGCCCTGAGCGCACATGGTCCTGCTCAGGACCAAGATGTAGTGCTGCACAGTCCAAAAACTGCTTCTCTGCTCTCCTCCGCTGCTATCAGAAGAGCATCCCCTTGCAAAACCAGCCTGAAGGGCTCAGTGCCACCAAGCTCCGCTCGGTGGCGTTTCTCACTACTGCATGAGCTCAGTGGCCACAAAGGGAGACCCAGGCCCTAGGAAGGACAGACAGACCCCTCCGTGGAGAGCATAAAAATCCCAGCACTCTTCTCAGATGCGCCAAGGACTTGCTCTACCTCTGCTAGCTCTGAAAGGCAGGAGTTGCCTGCTCCTTTTCCAGGTCGAAGCACATTCTTCCCCAGACAAGTTACCTGTCCCTGCTTGATGAGTTCAGGTTTGTTTCATTGCCGATTCACAGCACTGTCCTGCTGGTAGCCGGCTCTACAACTCAAGCTGCCTATTTTATAATTGCATTTTCCCCTGGGTGCCTCAAGACCAAGAGACTGCCTCTGGGGTTTTGAAATCAGAGCATCCAAGGAGAGAGGAGCTAATTTGTCTCACTAGCAACTTCCTGTGTGGCTGTGGCCATATCACTTTACATTTCCATCTCATTTCCCCTGTCTGTAAAACAAAAGGGGTATGTATGCCTGCACATGTCTACAGTCCCTGCCTTCCTCTTACCAGGAAAGCTGCGAGAAGTTCATTAGTGTTTATTTGCTGCCTTGGACATGAGAACTGGCAGACCTTGCAGTGCAGCTGTCCGTGAACGCCGCTGCCTTGCTCTGTAAATGCAGACTGGCAGCAGGGCACAGGTATTGCAAGGGAGATGCTGCGCCTGTGGGTCTGCCAGCAGCAAAGGTCGAAGGGCTAGTGCTGGAGCTGTGCACAACACGCACGGCGGCCAGCGTTTTTTATCCAGATATTCCCGACATTTGAGGAGCCTGAGCTGCTGCAATCCTGACACCGACAGTCAATCCCATTGAGATATCCCCCTCCTGCAGTCCCATCTCCTGCAATTTAATATAGGCCAGCTGTTTGTCAGGCGCTCCCATTGCGCGGGAGCTGCAGAGACAAGGCCGAGCAGTCACGGAGCGGCATGGATGCTGCTCTTTGCCAAGCACAAAGAATGCGTTGCAGCATTGTTATTGCGAAGCAGAACAATGTCACCGTGTCATGCCAGGGAGCGCAGAGAACAGCGTTTCCTTCAGTGCTCGCTCCCCCTCGTTCCTTCTGCCACTTGCAGCAACACCCCACGAAAGGCAGAGCTATGGATAGATCCAAATAAAATAATATCCACAGCAGTCCATGCAAAAAGCAAGGAGGGCTCAGTGTGACTGCAGACTGCAAGTATAGTGAAGAGAACAATTAGTGCATTCACTTTGCTCATTGGTTTAAACTGGCAGCAATTTCTGATGCCCTTACACAGCAGCTACTACCAGAACAAGGTAAATGCTTCAAAGAACAGATTGTCAAATATTTGCTCAAGTAAAAATGGCCCATGTGCCTCATGTCCCCAGCCCCGTTTTATCAAGTGCTTTGGGCAGTTTTATTCTGGAGAAGAGAGCAGCGCAGGCCACTGGCACCACTCAGCAGCAAGTGGCACACAGGGATGGCTGCCACCCTGTAAGCAGCCCATAGCCCCATGTGACAGGAGCTGGGACATCTGGCTTCTCATCCACTGAAGGTCATAGTGTACAGTCACTGAGGACTGCAAAACAGTCAGTGAGCAAGACCTAGACTATCTGACACTGGAATGGCAATGTGCATTTGATTTATTCTCTTACTAGTTACCTGGGGCAAGGAGACAGAAAGATATACGTGAACGCCAAGGAGGCACAGGCAGGGACCCACACTAGAAGGGTAGTGGAGAAATCAAGGGCAGCTGAACTAACTTGTGGCAAAGCCCGTTATCCCAGGGGAGCTGGGATAACACCCAGGGAACTCCAGCACCCCAACCAAGGCAACAGGGCAGCAGGAGAAAGCGGCACCAGCCCAGCCAGCACAGCACGCGAGGAGATGGTGGGACAGGTGACAAACACTTACTGCAGCTCCTTGTTGATCACTTTGATCTTTCCGTTCTCCTTCATCACATAATTTGCCTGGATGCAGCTTCCTTTTTCGAAATTTGATGGCAGCTTTTCTATCTCATACCATTTTCCAAGGTACTGATAAAAGAAAGTCCAGAGAGAAGCCTTTAGCGCAAGGGGACCTAGTGAGTCGGAGAGCAGCCTGGCTTGTTCAGTGACACAGTTTGACCTGCTCAATTCACAGGAGCCTCAGGGGCTAGTGACCATCTCCAAGTCCCACGAGACTGTAGAGGGGTCTGTGGGGTGGCACAGGCGCTGGGAGCTCAAACCTCCAACCTTGCGGGCCAGGCCACAGGCAGCTGGCACCACACAGGCCGGGTGGCGCTAGGCCACGTGTAAGGCACTCAACATATGGCCACTGCCATTAGGTTTCAAGACCCACCAGACTAACCCCATGCCCTGGCAGGGTTTGTTGTTGTGCGTGTGTCACCTTAGCCTAGCTTGCTACTTGAAGGGAGGTTTTAGAAAGCTCTTCAGACCTTGGCGATATCAAAGTTTTCTTGGACTGGTGGGTCTGGACATGGTCCCATGTGAAACGTCTGTCCTTTTCCAAAGCCAACAAGACCGAGCAGGACTGAGAGCAGCACTGCCGTCCTCAGCATGGTTGTGCCTGAACACAAAGAATAAAATGGACTTGGAAAGGAAGAAAATATTAGAATATGGGGCCTCCCTGGAGCAAACCTTTGAGAGAAATATGACAAGAAAGCCATATCTTCTGCTGCTCCTGCACATCAAGGGACACAGGAAGGAGAAAAGGAACATGGGAACAGCTGCATTACCCCCTCTGCTGAAGGAAGGCACTGCCCCAAATACACCCCTAGCCCAAAAACTGGCTGGCACCGCCGGCAGCCCTAAGGACACAAGCCAAAAACCTCACGCAGACTCAGCAGCACCATGGGACAGTCCGTCTGGTCAGCACACAGACCCGACACCCAGCACGATGCGGGGGATTTCAAACAACTCAGAAGCACCTGCACTTCCACAAAGCTGAGGCAAGGGGCATGGCAGAGGCGTTTGCTGTAAAAAGCTGGAACTTGGAAACAAAAGCTGAAGAGGCTCTGCTTTGAAAAGCAGAAGGAACAAGCCACAGCCGCAGCTGGCATGCTGCCCCGCGTGACAGGACGTGCTTGGGGCAGGACGGGGCACGGACCCCATCGCGCAGGGCTGCTCCATGACCCTCTGCCCGAAGCACCTCCACGCGAGCAGCAGTAGCGTTTGCCCCAAGTTCGATAGAAAAGCCTCATCTCTCTCCCACCATGGGACAAGGGTCCCTCTGAAAACGCGAAGACAGCTCCCGTATTGTACTGAAACCTCTTAATTCAGCAACGTACCTGAGGTGACAAGGTGGCCCAACGCTCTGAGGCTTGGTTGCGGAGGAGCAGGGCTGCAGGGAACGGCTGTCCTGCGTGTCCACCGCCT